TTTTTTTTTTTTTTTTAGTGTATGAGGTATTATCTCCATGTGCATAAGTACACCCTGTGTTATACAATGCTCACAGAGGTCAGAAGAGGACATTGGATACCCATTGGATACCCTGGAACTGGTGTTGTGGATGGTTGTTAACCACCATGTGGGTGCTAGGAATCAAACCTGGGTCCTCTGCAAGAGAAGGCAGTACTCTTAACCACTGAGCCATCTCTCCAGCCCTCCCAATTATTTTTTCTTGTGTGAAAGAATGTACAAAACAATTCAGACAGGGATGACTTCTTTGATGTGCCCCCATCCAAGCTTTAAGCTGGTCTACAGGACTTACCTTTGCTGACCTATTCATTGTCTGCTCACTCTTTGATACAGCACAGATTTCTTCAACACCAGGCATCTCCTCAGTTCTACTCTCCCTGGACTGAGCTTCTTGACAAGGGAGGAGCTCTACTTTACTAGTTAGATTCCCCAGGCCCATCTCATGTTGTATATTGTACAATATGGTATGTTACATATAATATTGAGGAAGCACTCAATGATGGTTGAAAAAAATGAATAGGCAAAGCTCTGAGTATCAATTGGGGTTTGACTGCTTCATAATTTAGCAGAAGTCTGTACTTGAGCTGAGCCTTATATAGGGTGCAACTTACTGAATAGTTGGTAACTATCATGACAGAAAGACTTGCATGTATATATGCATGCCTAGAGATGACACTGTGATCGCTCTGGACCTTAAGATATAAGGGGAAAACTGAGAATTACATTAACATGGACCCCTCTTGCTGAGCCTTGGAGACCCTCACTCCACATTTTAGCACCTATAATCACCAAGCTAAGCCCAGGACTCTACCTGAAGCAATGTAGTCCTGAGCCAATTTCTTTATTGATCTGGAGATGGCTTTCTTAAAATAAGTCAGTGTTATGGTTTGAATCTGAAGTAGTCCTTGAAGGCTCATGTGTCAAGGGCTTCGCTGCTGACTGACTGATCTTGGGGGAAGTGAGTGGATCTCCAGGGCCCTGGCTTTTTCCATGGATATATTCACTGATGGGAGATGATGGAAACCAGGGAGCGGAGCCTTTTTGGAGGAAGCAGGTCACTGGGACGGGGGTTGGGGTATGCCATCTTGTCTCTGCCTCTTTGTGTCTCTCTCAGCTTTCCAGCTGCTCTGCGCTGAGCAGCCTCCTTTGTCCCATGCTCTCACATGACTTACCGCAGGCCCCTTGCCATGAAACTAGCCACAATGGATTAAAACCTCTGAAACTGTGAGCTGAGCAGAGCTGACCTTTCCTCCTTTATTTACACTGTTGTTCTCAGGTATGCTTGTCAGTTATGCAAAGGTGACTGAAAGCTGCCAGTGCATCAGACTCCAAACTCTAATCTGAAAAACAAAGTAGCTCTATGTACACAAGGTTAACTCATCTCTCACAGGCAGCTGTCAGCCTCGAACACAGCACTGAGGTGTGAAACACATAGAGAACGTCAGGATTCTGCTGTCTTTCCACTGCTGATCCCACGGACATCCTAATTAGCTGCTGCAAATTCCCTTATCTTGTATTTCTTTTCTTTTTATTTTTTTAAATTTTTTTATTTTTTAAGATTTATTTACTTTGGACTGGAGAGATGACTCAGTGGTAAAAAGCACTGACTGCTCTTGCAGAAGACCTGGGTTCAATTCCCAGCACCCACATGGCAGCTAACAACCATCTGTAACTCCAGTTCCAGGGGATCCAATGTCTTTTTCTGACCTCGGCAGGCCTTATAAGACTTGGGTGCACTTACACACTCGAAAGCAATACACTCAGTCATACACATAAAAAAATAAAGATTTATTTTATGTGTATGTGTGTTTTGCCTGCATGCATGTATGATATCACATGTGTGCAGTGCCCTCAGAGGTCAGAAGGTATTGGATGCCCTGGAACTGGAATTGCAGATGATTGTAAGCCACCATGTAGGTGCTGGGAACCAAATCTGCAAGGGCAGGAAGCGCTCTTAGCTGTTGAGCCAGCTCCCCAGCCCCTGCCTTGTAGTTCTTAAAATAAGCTCCTAAGGCTGTTTGAGGATCTGTTCCTCAGGGGTCACATGGGCTTGGGAGAAGCCCCTGGCTCCTTTCTTTTACCAGTTCCAC